AACTGCACCGAACAGCGTTCCTTCGCCTTGGTGGTTTATTGAAAATATTTTGATTAAATAAATATAATATAATATAATTTAATTTTTATCAAGCATTTTTGAGAGTGTAACTGAAAAATTATTGCTTCTCTCCTTACATGTAAATAATATAATTTTCACAAATTAATTTTGCAACTACTAATCCAAAACAAACATTTTGTATTTATCTGTTTTGCTTTAAATAATTTTCTATTCTTTGTTTAACTATTGATAAATTTACTTCTAAATCAATTAAACTTTTATCACTGTTTTGCAATTTTTTGGCATAATAATCGTTGAATGATGTAAGCATATAATTTATTGGCTCATATTTTGTGTAATCAGTTCTCCTAATTGGTAAATCAAATAGTGGTGTTGCTCTGGTGTCATGTGCTGAATCATAATATTTCATACTGTTTGAAACATGAGTTGACCTTAAATCTCCGTGAATAATTTTGAAAATAAAAGACGCCATCTTGCGTCTCTCCTCAAGAGTAATCTTTTGCAGAAATAGTAGTCTGTGTTCGTATTTTGGCAGTCTAAAATCGTTCCAGGCCATTATCCCTAGAGCATACAATAAGAATTGTTTTTGTATTGACTCTATTCTTTTGCACATATTGTCGTAGTGTGGATTCCATATTTCTGATCCATACTCAATAATCGGTAATATAAATGCAAAGTAAAGGCGTTTTAGTGTCCGTGGGTCGACAAAATCCCTACTGTTGAATTTTAACCAAGCAAATCTTGATTTTGCCTTAGCTACAACATGCTCGATGTGTGATTTGAAATTCATTTTCACATCAAGCAATACTCCCAAGTCCTTCATTACTTCAACTCTTTCAATTTGCACGCCATCTACGTTGTAATTATGTTTATATTTCATTGATCCACGATGATATGTTATTATTTTTGTTTTGTTAACGTTTAACTTTAATAAATTGCGTCCATAGTAATCTGCTACACGATCTAAATCCCTAAAAAAGGTTATAAAAAGGTTATATAAAGGTAAAAATCACACCATGACAACAAGATTACAATAGATTACAATAGATACGTTAGATTACGTTAGATTACGTTAGATTCGTGAATAATAGATAATAGATTACGTTATACGTTAGATTACGTTATACGTTACGTTAGATAATAGATTACGTTAATATATTACGTTAATAGATTACGTTAGATTACAATAGATTTACAATAGATGGAGTTTGTGTCTGCTCTAAGATCAGCATTGAAATTGATTGGGTTGATGAGCAATTTGAATGATGAGCTTAGAGCGAACACAGACGACATCTATTGTAAATATATTTTCAACTTAAAGTTGTATTGAAAAGTCTTATTATTAATGTTAGATTTTTGACATTAGCGTTGAGTAACACATTATTTTTATAGCGAAGCATTGCTAGTAACGTTATAAGAATAACAATAGCTATTACGGGTAACGCTAAAAGCTAACGTTACAATTGTAATGATGTTACTGTAATGCTTCGTTATTTAATTGTAATGTGTTACTGCAAAATGTAAATCTGTAGATCTAATTAATGCAGAATCTTCCGTGTACGTCTAATTCGGGATCCGTCTGTCTGTAAAGACCTAAATTACATGGATATAATATATTTTTGTGCACTTTTTTGGGATGTCATGTTTAAGCAGCTGCCGTAGCCGAACCACAAAACGAAAATCCATTCTAAAAAAGCTATTTTTCATAAAAAAAATGTCCAATTTTACGGTTAAGCCATTTTCAGAAATTGATCAATACATTTTCATAATTTTTCTCAATAATTGAGCAGCTACCCTCGCATTTCTGAGATCAGATTCAGACTCCTCGTGAAAAATTAATTCGAATAGCACCATTCTTGACAACACTTGTGACCGTTGGGTATCAAAATATGGACAACACGATTAGTTTTGCGATACAAATACAAAAATGATTTTTGAATGTCGAAGTATTTTCTTTATTTTTGAAAATTGTTTAACAATCGATACCTAAACACTATACATGTAATAACAAACAAAACCTAAAATCCGACTAGGTCAAACATATTTCTGAGTGGTAAATTCTTGAAAATTTTGTGGTCATTTCAATAACCATTTACAATGTACATTGTACACTGTATCATCGTTTGCAAAAATATCTAACTACTATAAAAAACCATATTTGTAATGTAAATGGATATTTGGCTTTTGTTTACTTAACTCTCATTGGCTAGTTTTTGTAAACAATCGCGCAGAGTAATCTATATGACAACAAATTGCTTCTATTAAAGCTCAATTTGGTGACATCGAAAACATTATCTTCATGCATGACAATTCACCGATTCATACCGCTCGAAAAGTAAGAGAATATTTACAGTCGAAACATGTGCCTTTACTCAATCATCCACCAAAAAGCCCGGATCTCAATTTAATTGAAGATATTTGGGCACTAATGGAAAAAGATCGGCCGCCTTTGATTCAAAGAACACATGATGCGATGGACACATATGTTCGCAATCGATGGGAAAATTTGAGGCAACGGCTAGGTATATTTTAATTAAGTTATAAATAGGGAAAATATTAAAAAATGTCAATATTTCACTTTCAATTTACAGATGTGTTTGATAATTTGTATAATTCGTTGGCTAATCGCTATCGCTATGTGATTCAACACGGAGGAAACATATATCACAACACTCACGAAACGTAAAATGCTTTGCACAAAACAGAGAAAAAACACATATTCTTAGGATGTTTGTCACTGTGAATCAAAACGAGACAAAAAATAAAGCGTACGATCGGAAAAATACAATCCGCATTTGTTTTAGTTTGTTGTTTCGTCAACGCATTTCCGCATTCTTTCACACGCATAGGTCGAATGGATCGTTGAATCTGTGATGCACTCAAGAGTAAAGAGTAACGCTCAATTTGTTGTCATATAGATTACTCTGCGCGATTCTTTTTAAAGACTAGCCAATGAGAGTTAAGTAAACAAAAGCCAAATATTCATTTACATTACGAAGAGCAACATAAATGCACAATATAAATACAAATATGGTTTTTTATAGTAGTAAGATATTTTTGCAAACGATGATACATTGTATTGACAATGTATTTACAATCAGTAGAATAATCAATTAATTTTTCAAGAGAATATATTTGAAATATATATTATTGAAATAATCCAACAATATGTACTTAACATATGGTGTGGAGCATCATTGGAATCTATCATTTCACTTGACAGGTTCTTTAATTGATCATAATTTGAGCAAACTGGAAAATCACGAGGGATTGATTGCATTTGGTTGTAGTCGCCAATCTTGAATATAAGTGACATTCCAACTTCAACGTGAAAATCAATGTGACAATGAAACAACCTAATATTAAACAAAATAAAGATTACAGTGTGTTTTAATGCATACGATCCACAGGTCAAATTCAAAATCTACCAAAATCCTGGATTATCTGCCAAAAAGCGAATTACGGTGTAACCACCATCGGGAACAGTTATTGTATCTTTTTTAGGTGCGCCTTTCAATCTTCGTTTTATTTTATTTGTTTTGTCCAGCATTTTGACCTGGAAAAAGAGTAATTTTCTGAAATTTCTTCAAATGTTGACAAATTTTAATACTTATATAAATATCTTTATTAGTTTTACCTCTTCCAATGAAATTCCTGATGATTTAACTCTTTCCATTGCCACTACTCGAAAATCATGACCGTGCAGATGAAATGGATGATTTGCATCAAATTTATAACCTTCGTCAATCAGTATTACTTCAACGGTGCTATTCAGTGGGACTTGTAAAACATGGAGGCAACCACAAAAATCCTTTACACAATTTATATTATGTTCAGCTAGTGAGGATTCATTACAAAATTTACTTTCATCATTCCATTGACGACCAATTAAAAGTGGTGTTGATGGCAACTTCATTGAGATCCGATTTAATTGGGAGCCAAAAAACTTATTTTTTCCAAATAAAGACGTCTTTATACTGTACAATTCTGGATGGTTGAATTGTGGGAAGTTCTTTTCATAAAAATCATAGTAAACATAAAATTTAAAATCTGTTTTTTCAGATAATAATTCTGGCGTATCTGGTTCAAGCGAAGTAGTTTCAACGATTGCAACTGAATCAAGATGATCGGGACCTAATTTTAATTTTAGATATTATATACAAACAAAACGACCTACATATAAAGTGCCGTATAAAAGTTTGAACCAACCTAAATAATTCAATTTTTTGCCAATACGTTAGCAACATTTAGATCAACATTAAGAGCTTGGAAATTGATGATCTATAAAAATATGACTTACCGAATATCAAAACTCTATAAGTTTTTCGACCAATTTACGGCGGTAAGTCAAATTTGTATGGATCTTCAGTTTCCAAACTAAATGTTGAACTAAAGATATTGTAAAAAATTCTCAACTTTTGCACGGCACTGTGTGTATTTGGGTATATTTTTGTACCTCTGTTTAAGCTATTCATTTGAAAACCAGTTCTCTTATAATTGTAAGACAATAATTCATCTGGAATTTTATTTTCAGCTCCATGGTAGTGAAGAATGGCACCTTGATGTGCTTTAGTGAATCTTTCATCGCAATCAATCAGTCCTTTAGCTCGAATCCAATAGTTTCCAATTGGTTGGTCGCTATATAAAATAAAATCGAATCTTTCTCCGGCGTAAGAAACTAATGAATCGACCCAAACAGGTTCAATGTAGTGGCCGTCAGAACCTATTACTAAAATTGTATGGTTATCAACAGAAAGTTCCAAAGGACAATTAAGAAAGCCAGCATTGATTACACGAAAACGATATTTCAGTCCTTCATGTACATTAAATGTTTCATATGGTGCAATTGTGGTCGCTTTTGTCATCAAATCCGACTGAGAATTTTCATCAATCTTATTTCGCTCTGAATTTGGTTCAGAATATCTGCCATGCCCATTAATTAAAATATTTTGTGGTTTATTATCTCCCATAGAATGATGAAATATATTAAAAGTAGGAACTGTTTCGCGGTGATCCCAATCGTGAAAAATCATATGAAACTCATCCGTATTTTCATCAAATACTTTTCTGATAATATTTGGTAAATCAACTATAGGTTCCCTATAAAAGTCATAGATTGAATAATATAAATTGAATAATATAGATTCCTATAAAAGTCACCTAATTATTAGCGCTCCAAAAGTTCCGTCACCACGTTGGGTTCCGACATGAGAATGCCACCAGTGTGTTCCCGTATTTAATGCTTTGAATTTATATCGAAATGTGGCTTGTGGCAAAATCGGACATTGTGTGACTTGTGGTACACCATCGAAAAAGGGAGCTATTTAAAAATAAGTGAGAAATTCAGGATATATCCAAAAATTTGTAAAAACATGAAACACTTACTACCACGCTGATGTAATCCATGCCAATGTATGGTCGTTGATTCACCCATCAACTCATTTTCAACATCCACTACAATCGTATCACCTTTACACACGTCAATCAATGGGCCTGGCATCATACGATTTACAACCAAGATGGAACGACGAAACCCATCTGCTGACACGCAATGCGGACGAAAACAATCAGTATTATTGTATGGACAATTCCAACAAGCTTTGCTCAACGTCACATACCTAAGGGGTGAATCACGAAAGAAAAGAATCGAATTAATTTAAAATAATCGAAAAATAATCAAAAATAATCGGAAACATATAATGAAAAAATTGCAAAGCAATAATCACAACAACATTAATGTTCAGCAATTGCTTTAATTTGAGATTTGGTAGTTGTAATCGTCGATTTCTGTGAAAGAGAAAAAAAAAACAAAATCATCATTTCACAATGAAGAAAATGCAATGCAAAAAAAACTTACCGATCCTTTGTATTCATATTCATCGGTTTGATTTATTGGTTTATTATTCGGTGTGTTTGTATGGTTGCCGGTAAGAATACGATTGTGAACCGGTTCGTAGTTGGGGCAAACTAGAAACTGATCGATACAAATTCAATACCAAAAAATTAAAATTCATTCAGAAAAAAAACACTCTTACCGATCCTTTGTATTCATATTTTCCGGGATCTGGCATCGCTTGTGGTCGGTTTGTGAACGATTCCCAGTGTAAGAACTAAAAATATGTCCATCTTCGTCATTCCATGTTTCCTATTTGTTGTTCCTGCCAATAAATGAATGTTGAAAACAAAAAAAAAATATTAAAAAAAAAACATTTAATTGCATATCGTAGTCAAAGTAGGCTTTGAAAAATCATAAGATCATCCAACGGTACCCGTAATCCACTGTGCGCAATGATGAAATTCATGATTAAACATGATTTTGTATTGTGTCCAATGTGTAATCTCATTCTACCATGCAGTCAAATTTTGTAAAAAAAAATAAAGAGTCTAACAGGAGTAAGACGAACTTTTCCGCTTGGTGGTAGATGCGTATTCTATTAAGCTATTTCAAAATAATATTTTCTTAAAGTTCTACACCAAAAAATATATTTAAACCTTGGCATCGAAATATTCCTTAATTTAATAGCAGAAGTACTCGGAAAAGATTTTTCACACTTCATGATAAACCCATTTGTACGACATTTGAAAGTATTCTATTTTCTAATAAAACACTATAAAAAATATGTCTGACGTTAATTTTGCCAAAAAAATTATTTTTGAAACACTTTTCATACAAAAGTAAAAATTGGATTTATGCATGGGAATCATGCCTGTATGGTATCGTAAGGACGTGCAACTTTGCACAGATTATTTTTTTCACAAAAAATAACATTCGGAAAGTTTGGAGAAATTTCAACGAAAATTATAATTCCTGAATATGAGTACCTTCCTGAAAATTTTGTATGGGAGGCATAGCTGGGCAGACTGAAAAATTCAGGGGGGGATTGGGGGGGGTAATTTTCTCAAAAACTCCTAGCAAAATAGGAAAATTTCATCTATGATCCAAAAACCCTAGCAAAATGAGAAAAATTCTATCCAAAATCATGAATTTTGTAAAGGGGTAACGCAAAAATTTGTTGATGTTGTAAAGGGGTAACGCTAAAATTTGATGCCTCAGGAGGGGGTAATCCCCCCCCTCCCCCCTGTCTGCCCAGCTATGATTGGGAGGTACCCCTAATTTTGATTGAAATATTTTCAAACTTTCAGAATGTTATTACTTTTCCGCACACACCCATTGTGTAAGGTAAAGTATTGGAATCGGTCGAAAAATTAACACCCTCAAAAAACATGTTTTCTGGGTGTTTTAAGAGCCAGAGAACACGAACGTAGCGTTTTTTCGATGTCCGAATGTATGTGCGTACCCTGTACTCTGTACCCTGTACACTGTACGCAAAAATTTGTTAACACGATAACTTTCAAACCAGAAAAGTAATTCAAAATCTGACTTCACAGGATGATTGAGGGTGCTGAGGAATAGAATTCATTAGATTTTGAGCGACTTTGGTTGACAGAGTGAAGTGTCATTCCCATGGCCATCCATGAGAAAAATTTAATTTTTCTTCCAAAAGTGATATTTAGTGTATTCCTAAACACTCAAAAATGTGTATTGGGGGGTTTTTTGATACGAGAAATCCGAATATGACGTTGGTTTTGCGATACAAATAACTTTCGACACACTTTTCATACAAAAATTTCAAAAAAATTGGATTTTTGTATGGAAGCCATGCCTGTATGACATCGTAAAACTAATGTCAGATTCAGTTTTCTCGTGAATTTATATTTACAGTAAAAGATATGTAATAAATGCATGATGTGGATCACAGTGCGGAAAAGTTCATCTTACGGATGTAAGACATTTTATTTTGTTGTGTAAAAAATAGCTTGTGCAAAGTTTCACGTCATTACGGTAGCATAAAAGCATGGCTCCCATACAAAAATTAAATTTTCGCGATTTTTTCAAAGGAACTCCGTTAAAACTTAATTTTTTGTGATTTTTTCAAGGAAACTGTATCAAAAATCAAATTGTATCTCAAAATTAACGTCGGATTCGGTTTTCTCGTGCCAAAAAACCCCCCAATACATATTTTTGAGTGTTTAAGTCTACATTAAGTATGACTTTTAGACGAAAATTGGACTCTTTTTCATAGGTATGAAATTTTTTTCCATCAACCAAATTCGCTCCAAATCTAATGATTTCTATTCTATTACTTTTCCGCACACAGTGTGTAAGGTAAAGTATTGGAATCGGTCAAAAAATTAACACCCTCAAAAAACATGTTGGAGCCAGGGAACACGAATCTAGCGTTTTTTCGATGTCCGAATGTATGTGCGTACCCTGTACCCTGTTACCCAGTACCCTGTACCCTGTACGCAAAAATTTGTTAACACGATAATTTTCAAACAAGAAAAGTAATTCAAAATCTGACTTCACAGGATGATTGGGGGTGCCGAGGAATAGAAACCATTAGATTTTGAGCCACTTTGGTTGATAGAGTAAAGTGTCATGTCTGGTGTGATGCCCATGGCCATCCATGGAAAAATTCAATTTTTCTTCCAAAAGTGATATTTAATGTATTCTTAAAAAATTTGATTTTTGTATGGAAGCCATGCCTGTATGATATTGTAATGAGCTGAAACTTTGCACAGGCTATTTTTATCACACAAAAATAACATTCCGGAAGTTTGAAGACATTTCAAGGCATACTAGGGGTACCTCCCATACAAAATTTTGTATGGGAAGTACCCCCAATATGCATTGACATTTCTTCAAACTTTCAGAATGTTAGCTTTTTGTGAAAAAAATAACATCTGCAAATTTTCACATGATTACGATATCATAGAGGCATTGAAAAGTCTATCAAAAATTATTTGTATCGCAAAACTTATATCAGATTCAGTTTTCTCATGAATTCATATTTACGGTAAAAGATACGTAATAAATGCATGTTGTGGATCACAGTGCGGAAAAGTTCATCTTACGGATGTAAGACATTTTATTTTAAATAACTTTGGGGTTGAGATAATCGATGGACAAATTTTGCGTACGGCGGACAACGTACAACGTGAAAGCGATTCACAACAACCATGCTCAAAATGGCCTGATTCGGGCTGACCTCAGAAACGTCCAGAAAACATGTTTTTGAGATGTCGTAAATTTTGGACCATTGCAATACTTTCCCCTTACACACTAGGTGTGTGCGGAAAAGTAAAATTCGAGAATTCTGTTCAATATTGTATTTAAAAATAATACTTACCGAACACTTCTTGGGAAACCCGATAAAAATCCAATTCGACAGAATATTTCACTTTCAATGTGAAATGAAAATTTATGCGCAACAATTTTAGTTCTTACACTGGTGATGGTTCGACATGATGTGACTTGTTGCCGGCTCGTTGGTTTATAATGTCACAGTCAAATACGCCCACACCAACACATTCAAATTGGTTTGTCGTTGGCAGTAGCCGATATTGAACAGGGAATGCGTTGGCTACTATAAAAAATATGGCAATTACTTTTTGTTGTTGTTACTGTTGTCGTATGTCCGTTCGTTCGCAGTACAATGAAGTCGCTGTGACGATGCTCCGATGCTATTGTGTGTACAACATATCCACTACTCCTACCAAATCTCAAATATTTGTCAGCAATCTGTTATTTGCTGTAGCGATTTTCGTTCCTTTCTTATGTGTGCGTGTGTGTGTGTGTTTGTGGTCAAACTATATGGTTTCTTACACTCTAATGTTTCTTACACACACACACACACTCTGTTTATTTCACATAGATTCAATTTATTTTACAATTTATTTATTTATATTACAATTAATGTATGAATGTGAATGACGATAATCGAAACTAATCGAAAAATAATCGTAAAACAACCAATTATAATTAATAATTATTAATTAATAAGCAATTTTTAATTCCAAGCCCCAACGTCACATACCACTCAACCTGAAAAAAATAATCAGAATTTTATTTTAAATTGCGTGGAAGATTTTGATGGAGCATTGTGGAGAGACAATGATTGACTAAATCATAACTAACTATTAGTTCTATTTTTTTCTATTGAACTTACTATGAATTTGTAATTGCAAATTTCCGGTGCTGCATTTTTAACACATTCTCTTCGGCATGGATGTTTTAAATAGGTATCTCGTGACATATGATGATCTTTTTCACTTAAATCTAAAATGTTAAATACGTCTGAATCATTTTCGTAGTCATGAGATTTAGTCCTGAGGCAGAATGGACAACAGTCTTCGAATACGACTTTTTTTGTTGGACAATCCTTTAAAGTAGGACAAGATTTTTTAAATGTAATTATTCTTGTTCCAACATCATCATCGACACACTCATAAAAAAGGCAACTGTCATTACCTAGGGATGATCAGAAAACAAGAATGGGAAAAATGGAAATAATCAATAATTAATGGAACAGAATCGGAAAATGAATCGAAGGAATGGATCAGGAATTATAGAGTAATAGAATATTTTTTTAAGTAAGTATTTCATTACTTTTCCAAATGTCTCCAATATTGTAGGTTTGATTTTTGTAAGAACAACGTTTCGGTACACATTCTCCACAACATTCTCCTTTTAAGTGAACCATGCGGAAGCCCTATTAAAATGTAATAAATAATGTCAAAAAAGTATAATTAATAAACATATAAAATGGGTTGTGGATCTGTCCATGCGCAACATGTCCGTGATTTTTTCAAAATGTGTAGTCATTTTACTTTTCCGCACACACCTAATGTGTAAGGTAAAGTATTGGAATCGGTCGAAAAATTAACACCCTCAAAAAACATGTTTTCTGGGTGTTTTAGGAGCCAGGGAACACGAAAATAGCGTTTTTTCGATGTCCGAATGTATGTGCGTGGTACGCTGTACGCTGTACGCTGTACGATAACTTTCAAACAAGAAAAGTAATTCAAAATCTGACTTCACAGGATGATTGGGGGTGCCGAGGAATAGGAACCATTAGATTTTGAGCAACTTTGGTTGACAAAGTGAAGTGTCATGTCTGGTGTGATGCCTATGGCCATCCATGGGAAAATTCAATTTTTCTTCCAAAAGTGATATTTTATGCATACTTAAACACTCAAAAATATGTATTGGGGAGTTTTTGGGTACGATAAAACCAAATATGACGTATGTTTTGCGATACAAATAACTTTCGACACACTTTTCATACAAAAATGTTAAAAAAAAATGAATTTATGTATGGAAGCCATGCCTGTATGATATCGTAATAAGCTGAAACTTTGCGCAGGTTATTTTTATCACACAAAAATGCCATTCCAAAAGTTTGAAGACATTTCAACGCATATTAGGGGTACCTATTTTGTATGGGAAGTACCCTTAATATGTATTGAAATCTCTAAAAACTTTCAAAATGTTAACTTTTTGTGAAAAAAATAACCTCTGCAAATCTTCACATGATTACGATATCATATAGGCATGGCTGCGATACAAAAATTCCCATTTTTTGTAGTTTTTGTATGAAAAGTGCTTCGAAAATTATTTGTATCGTAAAACTAATGTCAGATTCAGTTTTCTCGTGAATTCTTTGAGTGAAAGATTTGTAATAAATGCATGTTGTGGATCACAGTGCGGAAAAGTTCATCTTACGGATGTAAGACATTTTATTAATATGGAATTCATTCAATAATAAGACTGTTTACCATCTTTCGGTAGCATACGAATTACACTTCGAAAGAACTATTAGTTTTTTTCAGGTATCTAATGACCGAGTAATAATTAGCAGTAATTTTATGAAATTTATATTATTTACATGAGAGAAGCAATAATTTTTCATATTCTCTCTCAAAAATGCTTGATAAAAATCAAATTGAATTATATTATATTTATTTAATTAAATTATTTTCAATAAACCACCAAGGCGAAGGAACGCTGTTCGGTGCAGTTATTATTATTATTAATATTTCGACTTTTTTAAAGTTTTGGCGTTGATTCGGTATAGAGCACTCATGATTTATATGATAAGGAATGCGAGTTTTTTATTCTGATTTCACCAGATGATACAGAAAATTGAGTAGTATTTGTAAATCGAAGAAAAAAAATTTAAATATGTTTTTAATTTTTCTCGATTTTTCATCATCTATATGGGAGGCTTGTATGAAACTCTCGGAGACTCGGTATAGAGCAAAAAAAGTGAAGAAAAATCAGATTTTTTTTCTCACTTCTTATGCACAGCTAAATGGTCTATATCATCTGGTGCGACCGAATGTAAAAATTTGCCATTTCTGTCACCCAAATCGTAGTTCAATGCTATCTCGCTCACCCTTACATGTAATTTCTCAACGCTTGACATTCTGTTTACAAACAACATTCTATTGAAACACAACTGCGCAATAAAAATCGTCAACACAAAACTGAAATCTATGACCAAAATCCATTCACTTTCAATAATTTTCATTCTCTTCATATCTTACATACAACATTCGCAGCAACAGTGTGTGCGTGTATATAAGGTATAGAAAAAACAATAATGAAAACTGAAAAATGTAACAAACGTTCATGCATCACGTTGAAATGTATCTGAATAAAATGATTGAAACACAAATTCTATATATGTTCTATGTTAGACAAAAATCTGTCTTGTATTCTTCAGATTTCACTTTTTAGCGTGCATATTTCAAATTTCGTCGCTGTATTCCCGCTTTTATTCCCACGGACACATTCATATTCATAACAAAATACTATTCAAAAGTTTTCACGGCGATTTAAGTTACTGCAACCAAACATAGACCATAATTTTAGTTTATTCCCAAACTTTTTGTTCCATGCGAAAAAGTCTGGTGTGCGAAAAAGTAAAATATCATTTTTGAGCCAAAAATCAAAATGTTTGTATGGGGAGTACTCCAATTTGACTTTTCCGCAAAGACTTAGTGTGTAAGGGGAAAGTATTGCAATGGGTCAAAATTTACGACACTTCAAAAACATGTTTTCTGGACGTTTCTGAGGTCAGAGAACCCGAATCAGGCCGTTTTGAGCATGGTTGTTGTGGATCGCTTCCACGTTGTACGTTGTCCGCCGTACGCAAAATTTGTCCATCGATTATCTCACCCCTCAGAAAAGTTATTTAAAATTTGACTATACAGGATGATTGGGGGTCGCGAGAAATAGAAATCATAAGATTTTGAGCGACTTTGGTTGATGGAAAAAACTTTCATGCCTGGATACCTACGAAAAAGAGCCCAATTTTCTTCCAAAATTATACTTTATGTAGACTTGAACACTCAAAAATATGTATTGGGAGGTTTTTGGCATGAATCCGAGGTTAGTGACTTGAAACTTTGCACAGACTAATTTTTACACCAAAAAATAACATTTTGAAAGATTGAAGAAATTTCAATCATAATAAGAAGTACCTCCCATACAAAATTTCCATCTTTTGGCTCAAAAACGAATATTTTGTATGGGGAGTTGGTTAAGAGTACCAATTTTCGTTGAAACCAATTTTCGTTTTGTGAAAAAATGGCCTGTGCAAAGTTTTACGTCCTTATGACGTACGGGCATGATTCCCATACAAAAATCCAAAAAAAATTGTTACTTTTGTATGAAAAGTGCGTCAAAAATAATCTTTATGGGTTCATCATGAAGTGTGAAAAATCTTTTGCGAATACTTCTGCTATTAAATTAAAGAATATTTCGATGCCGAACACATTTTTTGGTCTCGACCTTTACGCCGCTTGAAAGGCTTGAAAAATCGAACAAATATTATTTTGAACTAGCTTAATAAACTTGCTGGGATTATGTGTTTTGGTAAGAAAATAAGATTCACAAGTTTTGACGGTGTTATCATTATGGTCGAAAAAACCTACTTTGATTGTAGTTTCGCCTGTATTTTGTACATTATTATCAAAAATACGGAAATTGACCGTAGTATACCGATGATGGTCGACTAAATGCTTTAAAATCCGTTTGGACGGGTAAATTTTAGATTCTTAATGGTCCAGGGCTGTCAACGAAACGCACAAACTTTATTCAAGTTTTATTCGTTTGTTATAGAAAAACAAATGTTCGGATTGTTCGTTCGTTGTTCGCAGAAAATTTAAAAATGTCCTATACAAAAATAAAAACAAATATGTATGTTGCGAGTAATGTGAAAAAAGTGTATGTTCCCAAAAATATTGCTCGTATGGTCTGTGTGTCTTCGAGTAGTTGATAGTTAATTAATGATATGTTATTTACTTGTTCACATTGATGATTGCAGTATTCATGGAAAATAGATTCAACAGCAATTCCATTAATATCCATGTCACAAACATGTTTCACGCATATATCTCCTGAATCTCCCAAATGCGTCCAAATTTCTCCTATTGCCTTTGTCATTAATGTTCCATTATTATTGAAAAAACATTTGGTTGCATCTAGAAATTGAAAAGGGGGGAATAAAAATATTAATAATCAACAATTACAGTGAGCTATTTTTTATTAAAATTAAATAAAAAATACAATATATAATATAAAATATATATAATACGCTTGTGTTATTGGATAAAGCTTAAATAATTTTATGAATGTATCTTAAATTACTATCTTATATGAATACCCACATAAATACACACATTACTACGTCGCCTGATAAGTCCCAGGACTAACACATAGACGGCGCTACTAATACAAAATCCATATTATTTTTAGAAAGTGCCAACCCTCAAATGATGCCTGTCAAAATTTCATGTCATTTCGATAATTTGGGGTTGAGTTACGGTGCTTTAAGTGACGATACTTTTGTTATTTTCAAAAAATGGAAAAATCCGAATTTCGTGTGCTGATTTAGCATTGTTATTTGATGGGAAAAAATACCGTGCAAACCCAACAATGGCTTGAAAAGTGTTATCCTCGTGCTTCTCCGTCAAACACAACGATTTGTCGGTGGTTTGCTGAGTTTAAACGAGGCCGTACTGACACAAGTGATGCTGAACGCTCCGGACGTCCAATTGAGGCAGCTACTCCAGAAAACATAAAAAAAATCCACAAACTTATTCTCAATGATCGTAAATTGAAGTTGCGTGAGTTAGCTGACATCATGAAGATATCAATGGAACGTATTGGATATATTTTGCACGAACATTTGGGTATGAGAAAACTTTTTTCGAAATGGGTACCGCGTTTTCTCACAGTGGATGGAAAGACAACAACGTGTTGATGAATCGGAAAGATGTTTGGAGATTTTTAACCGTAATAAAAAGGATTTTTGTATGCGGTATGTGACAATGGACGAAACTTGGATCCACCACTACACTCCTGAATCAAAACGGCAGTCTGCTGAAGGAAAGGACCCGGTGAAAGCCGCTCAAAGCAATCAAAAACTCAACAGTCAGCTGGAAAGGTTTTGGCGTCCGTATTCTGGGATGTGCACGGAATAATATTCGTTGACTACCTTGAAAAGGGAAAAACCATCAACAGCGAATATTACATGGCGTTATTGGAGCGTTTGAAGGCAGAAATCGCAAAAAAACGTCCTCAAATGGCGAAGAAAAAAGTGCTCTTTCACCAAGACAATGCACCGTGTCACAAATCAATGGCTACGATGGCAAAATTACATGAATTACACTTCGAATTGCTTCTCCATCCACCGTATTCGCCAGATTTAGCCCCCAACGACTATTATCTGTTTGCAAATCTCAAAAGAATGCTACAGGGAAAGAGATTTGGATCGAATGATGAGGTCATCGCTGAAACTGAAGCCTATTTTGAGGGTCTCGGCAAATCGTACTATAAAAAGGGAGTCGAAATGTTAGAGAAGCGTTGGACCGATTGTATCGCTCTTGAAGGAAATTATGTTGAAAAATAAAGTCGAATTTTGCCAAAAAAAAAATGTTTTTCTTAGTTAGTCCCGGGACTTATCAGGCGACGTAGTAGTTTTTAATTTTTTTTAAAAGTTTATTCAATTTTAGATGTACAAATACATTCAAAGCTATTTTTCGTTGAGTTTACTTGAGTAGACGAGAGTTGAGTTAACATGGAAAGAATATTACATGTATTAAATTTGTTTCTTGAAATGATATTGTTCTTTTTTGCTTGTGTAAAAATAATTTTCATAATTATAAATAATTATACAGTTTATTGCTATTTATATAAGTATAGAACACTTCTTTCGAAGTTCTCACTGTGAGTCTGTGACGCAATACTGTAAATCTGAAAATGTTCCCCAAAAGCATAAAGTTTATGATTTAAAACCAATTGAATGTCTTTTGGTTCTTCATAAAATGATCTGTTTTATATTGCGAGTTGAAAACATACCTTCACCTCGGTCAGTATAGCAATGCAAAAATCAGGCCAGAACGATTTCAAACATCATTGATTTGTTTATACAGTCAAAATTGATCGAATTCAGTCATTGAATTAGGTTTAGAAGTGATTTATAGTTCGGATATATTATGTTTCATATTCATATGTTGGCCCCACGTTCATTGCTCACAATTTGCTATGCTAATGACAGTGTTCCAGCTATACGATGCATTCAACTGTGTGTATACCAAAGTGGAATCACATTAGTTTTGCTCTGAAAGTATTTTAACTTCAAATGAGATTAATTTGTGGAGGTTTATTACAAACTGTTTGTAGTTCCTTTGGTACAAAACCTTCATTTTTGGTCAAAAATTGAAATTTTTGCATGAAAATGTGTGCTATTTTCATCCAAATCGTTTGAATCTTCACCAACTTCGATTTTCATAGATTTTATTGCTCAAAAACATGTTTTCTGGGTGTTTAAGGAGCCAGAGAACAGCAATGAAATCCCTACTACCGTGCTAGACGGTGTCGACACGAGTGGACGGATTTTTAAATTTATTTGAACGACGCCATGTTACTATACTTGTCCATTACAACGTACATGTAACAGAAGAAATACACAGTCCATGTTCACGCTAGTGGACATAAACGATTTGAACCGTCAATGTGAACTAGATCAAGTATAGAACTTTACATAGGATCATATACGATGAATATGGATTACACAGTCTGTTTCAAAATACCGTCACCAATGTCGACACCATTTGACATCAAAATTTTGACAGTAAAAATATTTGTTACTGTTGTTGTCGTTTCATTGCTGTGGGGAACACGGATCTAGCATTTTTTTGATGTCCAAATGTATGTGCGTACCCTGCAAAAATTTGTTAACACGATAACTTTCAAACAAGAAAAGTAATTCAAAATCTGACTTCAAAGGATGATTGGGGGTGCCGAAGAATAGAAAACATTAGATTTTGAGCGAGTTTAGAGTGACGTGTCATGTCTGGTGTGATGCCCATGGACATCCATGGAAAGAATCACCTTTTCTTCCAAAATTGATATTTAATGTATTCTTACACACTCAAAAATATGTATTGGGAGAAGACACACGTATATGGGTGTGCGGAAAAGTAAAATGAGATTTACAAGTTTTAATTGTAAATAAATTACTGTAACTACACATTTTGGGAAAAAATCCGATCAATTTCGAATCAACAAAACGAATACAACATTTTCAAATTATTTGTATCGTAAAACTAATGACAAATTCAGTTTTCTCGTGAATTCTTCGAGTAAAAGATATGTAATAAATGCATGTTGTGGATCACAGTGCGGAAAAGTTCATCTTACGGATGTAAGACATTTTATTTCTGGATTACGTGAAAAACGTCATGGGTATTTTTCGCGAAAATGTTTGAAATTTTTTCCACTCTGACTTCGGATCCGGAAAGGTGAGTCTCGTACCTTTCCAACGACATATGAATCGTTGCGGCGAAAGAGTAGCTCTTATTTTTCTCCAAATAATACTGCAACATATAGTTTTTTATGAATAGTTTATTTGTTGTATTACAACATATGAATCATTGCAATACCTTACAGATGTTCAGAAAAATATCCGATTGAAGAAAAACTCAAAAAGGGCCTCCCAAAAATTTTCGACCTCAGACCCGAGAGACATACGAGACGAAATCGAAAATTTTCAAAGCACATGTATTCTCAGTTTTCCATCTAATAATAATAACTGCACCGAACAGCGTTCCTTCGCCTTGGTGGTTTATTGAAAATAATTTCATTAAATAAATATACAATAATATAATACAATTTGATTTTTATCAAGCATTTTTGAGAGAAAAAATGAAAAATTATAGCTCCTCTCATGTAAATAATATAAATTTCATATAATATTTTTTAACTGCTTAAAATTTCTATAATCCATAAAAAAAATTTGTATTTATCTGTTTTGCTTTAAATAATTTTCTATTCTCAGTTTGATCGTTGATAAATTAGCTTCTAAATCTACTTTCAATAAAAATTGGTTTCAAAACTTTTTTCAAAAATTTCGGAGAAAAAAGTGTACATACAAACACCCCAAGCGACCAATTTTGAGGTTTTTGACCATTTTTGGCCAATTGACCATATCTCGTCCCCTTTTCAACCGATCGTCATGATCTTTTTTTAACATCATCTACGGAGTCTCTAGATCCCGATTATGGCCATATTTTTTTCGAAAAAATAATTTCGGTGGTCAAAAAACGAAAAAAAGGAATTTTCAGCGATTTTTTCAAAATGCCACCTGGCGGCCAAATTTGGATTTTTTCAAAAAATTGCGGATTCTTAATTTGGTGCCCGAGCAATACTAAAATATGCAAAAAAACTCCTTTCCAAAAGTCAGAGGTCTAGATTTTCATGGCGCAAAATATACATATTTCATACGTATGTGGGTATTTTGTCACTTGGGGGACTACCGTCCCCCGTGCAGTGATGTGTAAAGATACTATCTAAAGTTTAGATAACAGATAAGATATTTTAAAAGTTTTAAAATTCTATCTAGATAAGATAAAAGATCTCGTTATCTTTATCTTATCTTGCAGTATCTTCTGGTTTTTTCATACAAAAATAGCGAAAATTACGTTTAGATAAGATAAGATATTTTGGAAAAATTCAGATAATTTTCAAAAGTATCTTAAAAACCTCAGATAAAGTATCTTTGCCCATCACTGCCCCCGTGATATGACTTAATTGATATAAGACTCTATATCAATATAATATAATAATAATATTAATATATTGTGAACATTATCACTTTCGGTTTCTACAGTGTTGTATTTTCTGCCCATAAAATTACTTTTACTTACCTGTTATGGAAACTGTGTCTAAAGCGTTCATAGAACAAATAAGCGATCCCAAATGTAAAACAATTTTCCACATTTTCAAGAAATTGAATATATTTCCTATTCTGAAAAGAATAATAAGAAATGGAAAGAATAATGTTTTCAATAATTTATAAACATGTTCAACTACTAACTGTGTATTGCCATAACTTGTTTGTATTTCATATAATTTTATGGTTCATTAAATGCTTGCGAAAATATTGAAGTGATTACAATAATAATAAGAACAGTAACAGTATTTGAAAAGCATAACTTTTTTCATTAGTAAACCATTATCATCTCATCAACTTCGATATAAAAATTCCACAAAGTATGGAAATGTAACAATTGATGAATATAATTTACCATATTATTTGTTTGTCAGATAGTCAAAATATGGGAGCAATTTACGGTGATAAAATGTTTTGAATTAGTCAACAATATCTAATCTAACTCGCATTGTGAGAGTTTTAGCAATCCATACAGGTGTCAATATTGATTCCATTTTCCGAGTAGTTTGAAATCTTTATAAAAAATACTCATATTTTTTCCACTATGCTTTTGTGGTGCTGAATAAATTGATGGTTCTCAAAGATTTTATTTGGCAAAAAATGAGTATTTTATTCCTGTCTAATAAAAAATAGAAAATTATAGCAAGCCTATTAATTAATTCCAAAAAATGTATTTTAAGATGTTTTTGTATTGTGCGATAGGACTGTAATATAAAAACTTTATGCAATCCACAATCATTAGATCTTTTCGAAAAAATTTAAGCACACAAATAACATTTTTATTGTTGTGTAGTTCAATGGCGCTCACAATATTTTTTACCATCACTCACTGACAAAGTATATTTATTATATGTATATATGGGCATCATGCATGAGACTCGATTGATGCACCGGCTAAATATGTCGACATACGTAATAACTTGAAATAACTTAACTGTACTTTTCAGAGATACAAACCTGTTTCCGAAAAATATGAATTCAGACTGAAGGGAAAAATACTTTTTATAATATAAGCAAAAAACTTTTTTCCAAACTAAACACTTTCGTTAAACATTTATAAATAGAAATAGACGATTTATTTCAAGGTTATTTTTTATATATAGTGAAAAAACAAAAGAATATTTATTTATTAATGTTAAAATTCACTATAATTTTGCAATCAATTGAGTAAAAATAATATTGTTTATTACGCGAAACAAAAACCAATTGTTTTTCTTCTTCGCGTAATACGCTGTGTGATATTGTTGATCTGCTAAACACAACTATTCTCTGTTTGTAATTTGAAGACGATGATAAGTCTTTTCAAACTGAATAATCGACCGCAGATACGTCCTTCACAATCATAAGATGAAACTGACTAACACAACATTGCTTGCGTTTGTAAATACCTTTTTCTTTGTAAAATAATAATTAATTGCTCTTTTATAGACCCTCATCTATGAGATTTTATGGGAAATACGCAAATTAATAATTTGATGATCTTATTAAGATACGAGTGTTGGAAAGAAAGATTTTATACCTTTTTTGTAGTCTCATTTTAATTTTGCAAATCATTTCGTAAATAAAGACTTTTTGCGGTTTTTTTGCGAATTTTGGATTCTTCTTCTTTTGCGAATGTTCCGATAAACAATTTTGTATATGTTTATCTTTGAAATTAACGAATCGTGAATGACGTCACAACGATTGGTGTGTGCTAGGGGAATTTAGTCTCTTACCATCATTGCAAATACCAAACAACTATGCTGGTGGTTTCATGTGCACGCACACGCCGTACCAATTGGTTAAGTTATTCAAATAAAGGTTATCATTGAGCTGTGTGATCATTTAAGTTTGGCCTATACTAAATTGCGATATGATCTAAAAATGACTTGAAATTGATTTTATAAATATAACTGTAAATTAATAGTATCTCCATGTAATTCCATTTAATCTGTTGATGAGAAAATGTTGATTCAAGTTGGTATTCCTAGATTCCTAGAAAGATTCCTCTTTCAACAATATATTGTTTCCATTAAAAGAGGGAGGAGAGAACGAAGATTCCGGAATCCGGAATATTTACTCTAGATACATAATGTTATTAAAATTCAAATCACGTTTTTCAAGGTAAACCACCTTTTTTGAAGGTTAACCTATTTGGATGATTTGTTTTTTTTTTTATTCAATTGCGAATTTAATCATATCTATGTTTTGCATTAAGCATTCATTAATATGAAATATAAATCAATTGCCATTACAAATGGTTTTTAAATTGATATTAAGTAATAAAAATTCATCAAATTCATCAAATGAGAATGCTATATAATACATTTGCTACCCTAATGCGATAGATGTTAAATAGTGAATCGTGGACGGTTTTCACCATTTTCGGTGCTCAATATAGGTTAATGTGCTCCTAAGCTTGCTTGAGAGCTATCAATATTTCAAAGATATTGCATAAATTATGATTAATACGTGATGTAGACTCTATTTATTATATCCATAAGATCAACTTTACCGCACTGTGATCAACAACATGCATTCACACAGTGTGTCGCAATGAAACGTAAACTTTAACGAAATATCCCATATTAGTGGCGCCATCTATTGAAGAGGTGTGCGTTGGAAAGGTCCATCCCTAATTGACATTATGTCAAAGTTTCATGAGGATCGGACCACTAACAGCCAATTTATTGCGTCTTAACGGACAGTATGTTTGCGTCATCGGGGTGGACCTTTCCAACGCATATTTCCCTCAATAGATGGCGCCACTAATATGGGATATTTCGTAAAAGTTCACGTTTCTTTGCGACACACTGTGTATTACATATTGCTTAATGTGAAACGTAGTTGATTACATTAAGCTATGGAATAGAAGTGTGTTTCCGCAGTGTGTAAGGTATAGGAATCGGTCGAAAAATTAACACCCATGGCCTGGAAATGCCTATGTAATTTACATATAAACGGGTGAGACTCAAACATGTTCTTCCATACATGAGAGAGAAAATTTCGTCTCATTCATTTCCGCCCGTGTTCTTCGTATGAAGAGTATACAATTAATTTTATTATCATTCAATAGATGGCGATACCAACAACTTTAAACTTATGAGATCGTTCGAAAAACGTATTGTACATTTTTTTATTTAAAAAAATGCAAAAAGATTCACTTTTAATCCCGAATATTTGAAAAAAATTCTTCGGATAAATAATTAAGACAATATTTAAAATAATTTGATTGAATTCATTTTATTAGTTGTCATGGGTATGTGCAAAATAGAATTGTCAATTCAACACAAACAATACATATACACAAACATGACATCGTATAAGCCATAACAACAGAGCACAATATGCTATGTAGAAATACTAATACATGCGCGCACTACTCAGCTTCGTCTTTGCTTGTTGCTTCAAGCGTGCATGTGATGCTTGTGAGAATGTATTGTTTGTTTTGCCGTGTTTTGCGCAGTGAAATCGATGACAACAAATAAAATGAATTCAAAAAAACTATTTTAAGTATTGTTCAAATATTTTGATTGTTTTTTTATATATATATTTGGAATTAGAATCTAATTTTGAATTCTTTTTTTTTAAATATTTGTGAATTCCAATAGAATGGATCCACATTTTTCATTCATTTCCTTTCCTTTTTGCTTTTGAAAAGCGAAATGTCATTTTAACATGAACATATTTTCTCAAATGTTACCATGCTATTTTACTCGCAACACATTTTGTTTGCGAGTAAAATACTATTTTTCTATGAATACCATTTCGGCTGCAGTTAAAATGCCGTTCTGACGTTAATTTGTATTATTTAAATGTATTTTTTTCATTTGAATGTTCTTAAAAAATGCTATCGATGATTTTTTATTCTGATGACTTTTTTCAATACTTATTTTTCCATCAAACCACTTTTTGCTTCGAATATATACTATATTTTGATAAATGAAACATTAAAAAAAAAAAAAAAAAAAATTAAGAGAAGTCACTCACGCGCGCGCTCGTTTGGTCTTGTATTCCATTCTATGCACTCTCTCCCATTTTTATTTTCATTCAACTTAGCTTTGGGGTCCGAAAAAAATATAAGAGAGAGCATAGAATGGAACACAAGACCTTTGGATGATTTTAAACTCATTACATACGAATCAAACCCACAGAGACTCAATATCATGGAATCACTTCACATTTATTTGCACCGTCTACACAATGTGAACCGTGCTTGGGGTGAACCAACATAATTTATTAGGTAAAATTAGAACGATACTAGAAATATTAGGAGAAACTGGATTCGTTTTGAACAGGAATTGAAAGCAACTGGATGTCACGAAACAATCATCTATCTGCTATTTTTTTCAATTTTCATATTTTGTTTTTGGTTTGCAATTATTTCTCGTTTTTTATTTATAATTTATCAATTTTTAAATTAGGTGATTCCGTTTTGAGATTAAATTCAGTGCACCTTTTACAATGAGGAGAGCAAATATGAATTGTCATTTTATTTGAACAAGTTCCTAACATAGAAACTAGCGCCACCGCATTTACATTTGGTTTGCACATAGCGGCGACAATAAATACTATATTCTCTCAAAATATTAGAAAAAATTAGAGGCACATTAGTGTAAATTAGATAAATATTGAATTATTATCACAATTAACACAAGACCGAACCAGCGCGCGATTCTTGTGCTGTGTGTAACACCGGGAAAAGCTTGCTATTCTACTGTTCATTTGAATGCGAGTGTAAACAAACGAGAGAGATGATGAAAATAACGCACAACATGCAGAAAACAAAGATTGCACCCAACACACGAATTAAATAGTGCCAATGAACAGCGCCAATGATGTATCAGCCGGCCATAGCTGAAAACTATTGACTGTCCAAAACTCAAATATTTTGTATGGAGGTTACCCTAATTTCTTGAAATTTTATGAGATTATGTATTTTGGTAATAAAATTTTGAGCCAAAAACTACAAACGTGGAACTACGAGTACAAATATAGGATTCTATTTTGGTATTCAAGATGTTTGCGTTAAAAGAAACAAATCGTTGTTGTCATAAAATTGAAATGTACAAAAGGGCTATTTCAACTCATTTCAAATGAATAATCAGCTCAAGAAAACGTCTGCTAACTTTTATTGAAATTTCTTCAAACTTTCAGAATGTTATTTTTAACGCCAAATTTTAACACGAGAGGCATGACTGCGTTTTGTATTCAAATTTTTTTGGACTTTTATATGAAAAGCATCGAAAGTTATTTGTATCGCAAAACTCACATTTTTAAGAGTTTAAAGAATATAAATTTTCAAACCTTTTTCAGTATCACGGGGGACGGCAGTCCCCCAAGTGACGCAATACCCCCATACATATGAAATATGTATATTTTGCGTCACTCTATATATACGTTAAAGACATGAAAATCTAGACCGCTGACTTTTGGAAAGGGGTTTTTACATATTTTAGTAGTGCTCGGGCACCAAAATAAGAATCCGCAAAAAAATTAAAAAAAATTCAAAATTTGGCCGCCAGGTGGCATTTTGAAAGAATCGCTGAAAATTCCTTTTTCTCAATTTTTGACCACCGACATGCTTTTTTCGAATTTATTTTTTTACATTTTCGGAATCTAGGGACTGCGTAGATAATGTTAAAAAAAAATATCATAACGATCGCTTGAAAAGTGGATTAAATATGGTCATTTTACCAAAAATGGCCAAAAACCTCAAAATTGGTCGCTTGGGGTGTTTGTATGTCCTCTTTTTTTTCCGTAGTTTTTGAAAAAACATTTTTTTTGTAATTTTTATTGAAAGTAGATGGAAAACTGAGAATA